GGTATTTTTCACACTCTTTCACTCTACTTCACCATGTAACGAACTATAATGAGATGAAAGTTCTTTATATCGAGGGTCCGTTATTAAACCCTCCATATAACGGGACTTCTCCATAATCACCCGTTAGCTGGAGGTTTAATAACGGGACTGATATAAAGAATTTTCATTCTCATTATAGTTCGTCACATGGTGGGGAGTAGAGGGGTGGGGGGGGGTGGGGGAGAGGGGGGTGGGGGGAGGGGAGGGGGTGGGGGGTGGGAGGGGGAGTAGAGGGGGTGGGGGGAGAGAGGGGGTGGGGAGAGGGGGTGGGGAGAGAGGGGGGTGGGGAGTAGAGGGGGGGTGGGGGAGTAGAGGGGGGGTGGGGGGGGGAGTAGGAGGGGGGGGTGGGGGAGTAGAGGGGTGGGGAGAGGGGTGGGGGGAGAGAGGGGGTGGGGTAGAGGGGTGGGGGAGAGAGGGGTGGGGGAGGAGAGGGGTGGGGGAGAGAGGGTGGGGAGAGAGGGTGGGGAGAGAGGGGTGGGGAGAGAGGGGGTGGGGAGAGAGGGGGTGGGGGGAGAGAGGGGGTGGGGAGAGAGGGGGTGGGGGAGGGGGGAGGGGAGGGTGGGGAGAGGGGGTGGGGGGAAGAGGGTGGGGAGTAGGAGGGGTGGGGAGAGGAGGTGGGGGGAGAGGGAGGTGGGGGAGTAGAGGGGGGTGGGGAGAGAGGGGGGGTGGGGAGTAGAGGGGGGGTGGGGGGAGAGAGGGGGGGTGGGGAGAGGGGGGTGGGGGAGAGGGGGGTGGGGAGTAGAGGGGGTGGGGGGAGTAGAGGGGGTGGGGGAGAGGGGTGGGGAGAGGGGTGGGGAGTAGAGGGGGTGGGGAGAGAGGGGGGGTGGGGGGAGAGAGGGGGGGTGGGGAGTAGGGGGGGGTGGGGAGAGAGGGGTGGGGGAGTAGAGGGGGGTGGGTGGAGAGGGGGTGGGGGAGAGAGGGGGTGGGGGGGTGGGGAGGGGGGGGGAGAGAGGGGTGGTGGGGAGTAGAGGTGGGGAGTAGGGGGGGTGGGGTAGAGGGGGTGGGGAGGAGGAGGGGTGGGGGAGTGGGGGGTGGGGGAGTAGAGGGGGTGGGGAGTAGAGGGGTGGGGAGTAGAGGGGGGTGGGGGAGTAGAGGGGGGCTGTTATCTATCTATCTATCTATCTATCTATCTATCTTCTTTTATTAATGTTTCAAACTTTTTCTTTTCAGGATTTTGATTGGAGGGAAAAACGGCGTTAGCAAGTTCTGACGTCACTAAGGTCTGACGTCACCAAGTACTGACGTCATCAAGTTCTGACGTCATCAAGTTCTTACGTCACCAAGTTCTGACATCCCTCAGCCCCGTCTACACCAGGTTATGAAATCAACAAGTTCTGACGTCACCAAGTTCTGACATCCCTCAGCCCTGACATCACCAAGTTCTGACATCACTAAGCCCTGACATCACCAAGTTCTGACATCACTAAGCCCTGACATCACCAAGTTCTGACATCACTAAGCCCTGACATCACCAAGTTCTGACATCACTCAGCCCTGACATCACCAAGTTCTGACATCACTAAGCCCTGACATCACCAAGTTCTGACATCACTAAGCCCTGACATCACCAAGTTCTGACATCACTAAGCCCTGACATCACCAAGTTCTGACGTCACTAAGCCTTGACATCACCAAGTTCTGACGTCACTAAGCCTTGACATCACCAAGTTCTGACGTCACTAAGCCTTGACATCACCAAGTTCTGACGTCACCCATTCCTACGAGTATCTATCTCTATCTCTATGTCTCTCTATCTCTCTCTCACTGACATCATTACACACTGAAGTCACCGTGATGTCAAGACGAGCTACCACCTGGGAACAATATACTCACGAGCTGTTCAATCAAGCTCACCTGTCTCTAATTGCCGAGGACAGGTACGAGATAACGGAGAGGTCTCGTGAGGAGGACAGGAGTGAGAGGTCTCGTGAGGAGGACAGGAGTGAGAGGTCTCGTGAGGAGGACAGAAGTGAGAGAAGTGAGGAGGTCTCGTGAGGAGGACAGGAGTGAGAGGTCTCGTGAGGAGGACAGGAGTGAGAGGTCTCGTGAAGAGGACAGGAGTGAGAGAAGTGAGAGGTCTCGTGAGGAGGACAGGAGTGAGAGGTCTCGTGAAGAGGACAGGAGTGAGAGAAGTGAGAGGTCTCGTGAGGAGGACAGGAGTGAGAGGTCTCGTGAGGAGGACAGGAGTGAGAGGTCTCGTGAGGAGGACAGGAGTGAGAGGTCTCGTGGGGCATATACCGAGGACAAGAGTGAGGTAAAGCAGGAAAGATCTTACGAGATATATGGCGAGGACAGAAGCCACGTCTTGTCCTCGTTTCACCTGAAGAGAGACGAGACGAGTGTGACGAGATCGCCGCCAAATAGAATCCAATCGAGACCAGACGAGACAGAGGCTCGATCCCCTGTTCTCAAGACATTGCCTCCGCCACTATTACCGTTGGACCACTCAGCGACGTTTAAACGCAATGTCTCAGGCGTTGAAATTCAGTCTACGAGTCATTCCACGTTGCCCAGACACACTTCAACGCCAAGACACACTTCAACGCTAAGACACACTTCAACGCCACTATCTAGACACATTTCAGCGCTATCATCCAGAGACACTTCAACGCCAAGACACACTTCAACGCTATCTTTACACAGTTCATCACCCCTACCTAAGCATATCTCAACGCTATCCTTGCACAGTTCAACGCCACAACACACTTCAACGCTACCTGTTCACAGTTCAACGTCGCCACACCCTCAACGCACTTTAACGCCACCCTTACAGAGTTCAACGCTACCTGTTCACAGTTCAATGCATCATATATATAGTGTGACGCCCCATATACACAGTTTGACTCCCTTAACGCAATGTTCAACGCCACCCAGGCATAGTTCAACGTCTCCCAGGCATAGTTCAACGCCACCCAGGCATAGTTCAACGTCTCCCAGGCATAGTTCAACGCCATTCAGGCATAGTTCAACGCCACCCAGGCATAGTTCAACGCCACCCAGGCATAGTTCAACGCCACCCAGGCATAGTTCAACGTCTCCCAGGCATAGTTCAACGCCACCCAGACACACTTCAACGCCAAGACACACTTCAAAGCCAAGACACACTTCAACGCCAAGACACACTTCAACGCCAAGACACACTTCAACGCTAAGACACACTTCAACGCCACTATCTAGACACATTTCAGCGCTATCATCCAGAGACACTTCAACGCCAAGACACACTTCAACGCTATCTTTGCACAGTTCATCACCCCTACCTAAGCATATCTCAACGCTATCCTTGCACAGTTCAACGCCACAACACACTTCAACGCTACCTGTTCACAGTTCAACGCCGCCACACCCTCAACGCACTTTAACGCCACCCTTACAGAGTTCAACGCTACCTGTTCACAGTTCAATGCATCATATATATAGTGTGACGCCCCATATACACAGTGTGACTCCCTTAACGCAATGTTCAACGCCACCCAGGCATAGTTCAACGCCACCCAGGCATAGTTCAACGTCTCCCAGGCATAGTTCAACGCCACCCAGGCATAGTTCAACGCCACCCGGGCATAGTTCAACGCCACCCAGGCATAGTTCAACGTCTCCTAGGCACAGATCAACACCACATTGTTCAACGCCATACACTTCAGCGCTACCCACGCCGCGTCGAAACTCTCCACCTCCTCTCCTGCCGATAACGCCCTTAACGCTCCTCTCAACGCTACAAGAACACTTCATTTCAACCCCTCCTTCACCACCCTCTCAACGCACCTCCACGCCGACCTCTCAACGCAACTCCCCGTCCACTACCCCGCCCTCACGACGCACTACATCGCCCTCACGACGCACTACCCCGCCCTCACGACGCACTACCCCGCCATCACGACGCACTACCCCGCCATCACGACGCACTACCCCGCCATCACGACGTCCCACCCCGCCCACTTCCACGCCCATTTCAACGCCGCTTTTCCATGCCAACATATCAACGCCATCAACAGATTGTTATTCACCAACAAGACGAGAAATGGAAGAGGAAATTAGACTCCAAAGAAAGGTGAGTATATGACTGTCTTGCCCCAAAATGATTACCAGTGCGAGCATTCACTAGCGTCTGGCGTAAACTATCCACCCAATAAAATCAATCTTACTGTGAAATAAACTAGGGTAACTAATCTTCAGGTCATCTAAAACACCTGTGATTATAATGATAAATTAACAGGTATGTGGTGTATGTGGTGATGTGGCCAGGTCGCTACACTTCGGCGGATTGGCTTGTGACTCCTGTAAGGCCTTCTTCAGGAGAGCTGTCTTAAGTAAAGCCTATCGTACCTTCGTCTGTACCAGCGATCAACAGTGCGTAATAACTGTTGATTCTCGACGGAGTTGCCAGGAGTGCAGGTCAGTTGAGTGTCTGTATGGTGTCTCTATGGTGTCTGTATGTCTGTATGGTGTCTGTATGTCTGCATGGTGTCTGTATGGTGTCTGTATGTCTGCATGGTGTCTGTATGGTGTCTGTATGTCTGCATTGTGTCTGTATGGTGTCTCTATGTCTGCATGGTGTCTGTATGGTGTCTCTATGTCTGCATGGTGTCTGTATGGTGTCTGTATGTCTGCATGGTGTCTGTATGGTGTCTGTATGTCTGTATGGTGTCTGTATGGTGTCTCTATGTCTGTCTGTCTGTTAGTAATCCATCCTCCAGACGATATTAATTTAAGCAAGTTACTCCAATCTTCTAGGTAGAGAGTGTGGAGTAAGAATGGAATATGAGAAAACGGAGGAGTGTGATGGTAAACTTATGTATTTTCATGGGTGAGATACGTGTTTGTGCTAGCGTGTGTTTGTGTGTGTTTTTGTGTAATTGTATTTATATGTATGTGTTTGCGTGTATGTGTGTGTGTGTATGTGTGTTTGTTTGTGTCGAGTAGACTTGTGGTTATGAGTGAGTGTGTGATTATTTGTGTGTGTACAAGTAAGGGATGCTGTGTGTGTGTGTGTGTGTGTGTGTAGTAAAAAAGTGAGGTTGAATGCATAACAATCAATAAAAATATCTGCGTACCTAACCTAACCAAACCCAACCAAACCCAACCTAACCAAATCCAACCCAACCTAACCTATACACCTGTTGATTAAAGTAATATATTCTCACAGGTGTTATAAATAGCCATGACGAGAGAGAGAGAGAGAGAGAGAGAGAGAGAGAGAGAGAGAGAGAGAGAGAGAGAGAGAGAGGAAGCTAAGAATCCACTACTATTAACGATAAGCAGTATTTCACTTCTGATAACCCGTGATAAGAAACTGCTTCATCACCCACACTAGGGCATAATATTCTCAATTCTTACTACATACCCAACACCAAACCAGTGACTAAATATATACAAAAAATACCCTATATAAATCTACTTTCGATGTATATATATATAAATTAGGTATTATAATCCATACGGTGGATATATTTACATAGTTTATATAGGTATTTTCTTGACAAGTGTAGAGTGGTGAAGGTCGGAATGTGAGGCAACATCTGGCAACCTATTGTATTTGCTTACTAAAATACACGTTAAGATTCTTACAGTAGTTTAGTCGTAATGGTTAACTAGTGTTGAAATAAACTCGTTAAGGGTTTGTTTATATAACTGATCAGTGTGTGTTTACATCCCGATAGCCGATAAAAAAAAAACCTGTTTATTTACATCCTGAAAGACGAAAACTACAAAATCAACTAAATAAGGTAGAGGTTAATGTTAGACTTGTGGTTTGTTTTGGTTACGTGTTCGTGTATAAACAGAATGTCCATATTTAATCCAGATTTAACCCCAATTTAACCTTTAATGCTGATTTAATCCCTAAATAACCCCTATTTAATCCATATTTAACCTTTATTTAATCCCAATTAATCCATATTTAACCCAAATTTAATTTATTCCAGATTTAACCCTTATTTAACCCTTATTTAACCCTGATTTAACTCTTCTTATTGCCCCTCATAATAGGATGTTGGATTTACCTCACATTAACATAGGAAATATATTTGTTGAGTTAAAATCTTGTTTGTGATGTTTAGCTGTTCGTGGTACTGAATGTTATAGTCACCTATTATCAAGGCTTATTTAACCCTTATTTTAATCTTATTTAATCTTATTTAACCCTATGTGTAACCGCCATTCAGCTGGTTAAAGGATAATCAGACTTGTGACGTTGAACTCAAATATTATAATTCGGTCAACCTCTTGGATACAATTCATTTTAGTAATTAACCTAAATCATACATGACAATCATAGCTTTGTAATTAATCTAATCTTAACACTTACAATGAGTACTTAATTTGCCATATTTTATGTTACCACAATGATAAACGAAGCAACGGACACAGTCTACATGTGTACATAATAAGTACTAGTTAAACTTATGTGTTGAAAGTCTCAAGAGAAACCAGGTTAGGTGTTGCCTCTGTGGTCTGAATAACTTAATGAGGAACCAGGTTAGGTGTTGCCTCTGTGGTCTGAATAACTACAGTGCCGATACACCAGCCGCCTCCCCAACCCTCTCTCGATGGGTGAGGGCTGTTGAGTCAGGCGATTATACACAAACAAACTCCCTTACTACCACCCAACACCTCACCTCCTCTGGGTCTCTCATCTCCACCATGTTAACACTCTACACACGGTATACTGGCAGGCACACCCAATAAACATGACATGACTTACAGCCTAACATGGGTCTCTCATCTCCACCATGTCAACACTCTACACACGGTATACAGGCAGGCACACCCAATAAACATGACATGACTTACAGCCTAACATGGGTCTCTCATCTCCACCATGTCAACACTCTACACACGGTATACAGGCAGGCACACCCAATAAACATGACATGACTTACAGCCTAACATGGGTCTCTCATCTCCACCATGTCAACACTCTACACACGGTATACAGGCAGACACACCCAATAAACATGACATGACTTACAGCCTAACATGGGTCTCTCATCTCCACCATGTCAACACTCTACACACGGTATACTGGCAGGCACACCAATAAACATGACATGACTTACAGCCTAACATGGGTCTCTCATCTCCACCATGTCAACACTCTACACACGGTATACTGGCAGGCACACCCAATAAACATGACATGACTTACAGCCTAACATGGGTCTCTCATCTCCACCATGTCAACACTCTACACACGGTATACAGGCAGACACACATGACATGACTTACATAAACTCTCATCTCCACCATGTCAACACTCTACACACGGTATACTGGCAGGCACACCCAATAAACATGACATGACTTACAGCCTAACATGGGTCTCTCATCTCCACCATGTCAACACTCTACACACGGTATACAGGCAGACACACCCAATAAACATGACATGACTTACAGCCTAACATGGGTCTCTCATCTCCACCATGTCAACACTCTACACACGGTATACAGGCAGACACACCCAATAAACATGACATGACTTACAGCCTAACATGGGTCTCTCATCTCCACCATGTCAACACTCTACACACGGTATACAGGCAGGCACACACCCAATAAACATGACATGATCTCTTCATGTTTCAACATGGGTCTCTCATCCCCACCATGTCAACACCCCACACGGTATACAGCAGATACACCTGGCCAAACATGACATGACCAGCCTAACATGGGTCTCTCATCTCCACCATGTCAACACTCTACACACGGTATACAGGCAGGCACACCCAATAAACATGACATGACTTACAGCCTAACATGGGTCTCTCATCTCCACCATGTCAACACTCTACACACGGTATACAGGCAGGCACACCCAATAAACATGACATGACTTACAGCCTAACATGGGTCTCTCATCTCCACCATGTCAACACTCTACACACGGTATACTGGCAGGCACATCCAATAAACATGACATGACTTACAGCCTAACATGGGTCTCTCATCTCCACCATGTCAACACTCTACACACGGTATACTGGCAGGCACACCCAATAAACATGACATGACTTACAGCCTAACATGGGTCTCTCATCTCCACCATGTCAACACTCTACACACGGTATACAGGCAGACACACCCAATAAACATGACATGACTTACAGCCTAACATGGGTCTCTCATCTCCACCATGTCAACACTCTACACACGGTATACAGGCAGGCACACCCAATAAACATGACATGACTTACAGCCTAACATGGGTCTCTCATCTCCACCATGTCAACACTCTACACACGGTATACAGGCAGGCACACCCAATAAACATGACATGACTTACAGCCTAACATGGGTCTCTCATCTCCACCATGTCAACACTCTACACACGGTATACAGGCAGACACACCCAATAAACATGACATGACTTACACCCTAACATAATGTTTGTTTATGTGTTATCCTATTCATTACTGCTTGCGGTAACACCTATTAACCCCTACTTTCCACTGTTTACCCTTATTAACCCCTATTTTATCATATTAACCCTTATTTTCCACTGTTTATCCTTAATTAACCTCTATTTACCCTTATTAACCCTCATTTTACCCTTATTTAACCCCTATTTACCCTTATTTTATCATATTAACCCTTATTTTCCACTGTATCCTTATTTAACCCCTATTTACCCTTATTTAACCCCTATTTTCCCTTATTAACCCTCATTTTACCCTTATTTAACCCCTATTTACCCTTATTTTATCCTATTAGCCCTTATTTTATCATATTAACCCTTATTTTCCATTGTTTATCCTTATTTAATCCCTACTTACCCTTATTTAACCCCTATTTACCCTTATTAACCCTCATTTTACCCTTATTTAACCCCTATTTACCCTTAGTTTATCATATTAACCCTTATTTTATCATATTAACCCTTATTTTCCATTGTTTACCCTTATTTAACCCCTATTAACCCTTATTTTACCCTTATTAACCCTTATTTAACCCTAATTTACCCTTATTTTCCACTATTTACACTTATTAACCTTTATTTAACCCCTATTATCCTTTATTTACCCCTAATTAACTCTAACCCTCAGGTAGCATCAGGTGTCTAATCCTCAGGTGTAAAAATACTCATAATTACATTTTTGTTACGTATTAATTATTATTTTTTTTAAAACTAAAGTGATAATTAATTTAGTGTTATTTTAGCCATTATTTATTTGTTTAGTAAAAATATGTATCACAAGATTTTAATTTGTATTTATTATTTTTGTTTTATGAGATGTTATTGGGATAGTTTCTTACAATAGTTGACTGAAATAAAGATATTGTTATTATTATTATTATTATTATTATTATTATTATTATTATTATTATTATTATTATTACTACTGTTATTATTATTGTTATTATTATTTGTAGTAGTAGTATTAATATTATTATTATTATTATTGTTATTATTATTATAATTGTTGTAATTATTATTATTATTATCATCGTTATTATTATTATTATTATTATTATTATTATTATTATTATTATTATTATTACTACTGTTATTATTATTGTTATTATTATTTGTAGTAGTAGTATTAATATTATTATTATTATTATTGTTATTATTATTATAATTGTTGTAATTATTATTATTATTATCATCGTTATTATTATTATTATTATTATTATTATTATTATTTCATAACATCACTACAGTTTAGTTTATGTTACAGGCTGTATTTACTGCACTATGTTAGGTTAGATAACGTTGGATCTCTCTCTCTCCATATATACATGACGTACAGTACATCGGTTAGGACACAAACATGTACAGTATACATCAACACTACCCGGGGTTAGTCTAATTCACAATTGATTGGTTGCGCTGGTTGTGACGTCAGAAGAATGACGTCACTAGTGTCTATGACGTCAGAGGAGAGAGAGAGAGAGAGAGAGAGAGTGTGTGTGTGTGTGTGTGTGTGTGTGTGTGTGTGTGTGTGTGTGTGTGATAATAATAGCCGTAATTTAACGTTTTATTGAAAAGAAACCTTGGCAGACAGAAGGCTGAAAATATACAGTTACATATTTAGAATGGGTTTCCGAATTAAATAATATACAAAGTAACATAGGTAGCACAAATAAGGCATAAATAACTAGATGGGGAAAAGCTCAAACTACAGTTCATTTCAACATAGTGACAGTGTAAGGAGCAGTGTTTACTGGGAGTGAATACACTGATTTATTACAAGTTATTGATAATCTTTACAATGGTTGGGACTGGGCTGTTCTTATAGCGATCAGTTCGTGCACGTATGGGCTGGATGCGGTTGTGGTGTCGAACAGCAATTCTCGGGCGAGGGATCTCAGGTGGTAGTAGGAACCGGTTCCTACAACACAAAAAAAACTAACCTAACCATCATTACAGGTTCGCTGGCTGTTTGCGCGCTGGTATGGACGTGTCGCTGGCCAAACGTGAGGACGAGAGAACGCACCACTCGAATCCCACCTACCACCACCACCGCCACCAACAACAACAACAACAACCACCACCACCACAACGCCGCCACGAACGGATTAATCATAACATAAATGTAATCCAGACGCCTTATCCAAGCTTATCCATCCGGGACATGACCCCAGGGTCGAGTTATGGTCTCAGTAGCTCTCAGGGTCCAAGGCCATTGTTTTCTCAGGGCTATGGCGAAGGAGGGGTAGTTATGGGATCTGGGTATCCGAGAGCTGAGGGTTCTGCTCCGTCGATAAGGGGTTCCTCAAGGGGTGACGCTGGCTCCTTCGTCAGTTATCATCGACCCTTCCCCGGGGATAACTTCGTCACTAGTTATCCAGGTCTGGGGAGTAGTCTTATGCCTGGTACTAGTTATATGCCTTCAGGTCTCCATGAACGTACTAGTGGTAATATGGCTAGACATGAGCCCCCTAGACATAGCCCCCCCAGCAGCTATAATCTCGTGGGTAGTATTAGTCCACAAAATAGCCACATGCCTATGGTGTGTGCTAGTTCGCCAAGTAGTCCCACACGACATAGCCCCATGGGAGACTATAGCCCTCCTCATAGCCAGGCTTCTATGGCTACTACCAGACCGACTGTTATTAGCAGCCGAGTGTTGCCCACTACCCAAGATGACGGCCGCTCCTCCTCCACACCCTGGGGGGAGGTGAAGAAGGAGCCAGCCATCACGGAACTTCAAGTCAACCCCGCCGCCCTTGAGAGATCCAGTAGTTCAGGTAGTGGCGGCCCGTCTACCTTACTACCTCAGTCTCCGCTGGTGTTTGGGAAGGATCTGGAGCCTTACCTCAGCTGTCGGGACTACGGGGAGATCAAGGAGCTTCATGACTTATACTCAACCTCGTTCGACCTGCCGGCACCTATACGGGACCGGATGATCAAGACGGAGGAGTTAGGGAAGCTGTACTCACACTTCATACAGAAACGGGCCAAGTTCCTGGTGAACACTCCGCTGTACAAGACCCTGGCGCAGGAGGACCGTCAGAAGCTGCTGCACACAGCGGTGGCCATGAGTACCTACTTCACGGGGGCGCACCTTATCGACATGACCAACTACACGTGGAAGGCTCACAACGGCACCGATAAGAGCAGCCCCATCATGTCGGCCACCACCATCCGTCCCGTCCTCACCCACGAGCAGTTCATGTTTGTGATGCGTTACTACACCACCTACTCCCCCTTCTTCACCGACCTGACGGTGGCCATACTGATGCAGGTGTTGTCGCTCTTCTACCCTGAGCCGGGGCTGGTGGAGCAGGAGGTGGTGGAACAAGGGCGTCTACACTACCTGGGTCTCCTCTCACGGTACCTGGCGGTCACTCACGGTCCTCACCTTGGTGAAGCTCACCTGAGAACACTGTTGGACAGCCAGCGAGAGGCCCGCCACCTGGTCCACCTTCTGCAGCACGTGGACCTGACGCCTCGAGTACCCAGACGTGACCTGGTGGCCTCAAGGAAGCTCCTGGTGGAGGGTATACAGCTGGTGTGTGACCGGGCCAGGAACAGCCTGGCCATGAGGGACACTACCAAAGGCCCTATGAGGGACAGTTACCGTATACTGCCTGGCCCTTGTAACCCTGCAGAAGCTCTCCTGCCAGTAGGGTCTTCCCGGACGCAGGATACCGAGCGCGTGGCCTTCATCCAGGACACTCTCATCCGTCTGGCCAACTGTGAGGATCCCCACACCCTAGAGAAGGCTCGACGCATCCTGCCTCCTGACCTCATCCTTAAGTTCTTCCACCAACAACAGGGAGCCTCTATGACACAGCACCTTTCTTTGTACCGCCTGACACCGTCCAGCTAGCTGACACCTACCGCCTGACACCGTCCTGCTAGCTGACACCTACCGCCTGACACCATCCTACTAGCTGACACCTACCGCCTGACACCGTCCTGCTAGCTGACACCTACCGCCTGACACCACCCTACTAGCTGACACTGACTGACACACCTTAGTTCACCGCCAGAAGAGTCAATACCGTACAAGACCTAACCTAACCTGACATAACCTAACCTGACAATAATAGGTCCAATACCAACCCCTCCTTCACCCCCTCTCCCCCTCACATCAAGCAGGGGAGGGGGGGTGGGGAGGTGGGGCTAAATCAAGATACTTTATCACTATACCAAATATACTAAGGCGCCCATGAGAGCTAGAGTATACTGTATATATATATATTCAAAGTATATATATATAACATATAATTAATGTATATATATATATATAAATCTTTTCATCTCCACCTTGAGTAATGGAGAAAAGTTGGACGCATAGAACTGTGAACTTGTAAGCAAAAATAAGCAAAGATAAACCAGGAAATAACTTAAGATCAATAGATATGTATTTGTCGAGATGTTTTTGTTAATATATAAACAAAAACAACCAAATTAAGGGACCAGATAATAATGTATTTGTCAACTGTGTTTTTGTTAATTTATGTGATGTAGTGTTTTTGTTACATATACTTTTGTTGTAGGCTATTTAACTGCTATTGTGTCCAGCTATTTAATATATTAAGGCTAGTTTTATCGTTGTGTTTGTTGGTGTGTTAATGTGCTTCAGTGACCGGGGGGGGGTTGGGGGAGGGGCTGTTTATGAAGCACCGGTAAATAGGTCTTTGTTATAGGTGCTTCAGTAAGGGGTCTTTTTTGAAGTACCGGTTTCTAGGTCTTTGTTATAGGTGCTTCAGTAAGGGGTCTTTTTTGAAGTACCGGTTTCTAGGTCTTTGTTATAGGTGCTTCAGTAAGGGGTCTTTTTTGAAGTACCGGTTTCTAGGTCTTTGTTATAGGTGCTTCAGTGGCCAAGAGGGTCTTATGAAGCACCATTTACTAAGACTTTCTACCAAGACAATAGGTTCTACAGCTGGGCCTTGATTCGCTAAGTAAGGTCTTGAAAGAGCTACACTGGGAAACTCTTCACTTAACACTGAGACTCTGCCTTAACTAGATACCTTCCCTTAACACTGAGACTCTACCTTAACTAGATACCTTCACTTAACACTGAGACTCTACCTTAACTAGATACCTTCACTTAACACTGAGACTCTACCTTAACTAGATACCTTCACTTAACACTGAGACTCTACCTTAACACTGAGACTCTACCTTAACTAGATACCTTCACTTAACACTGAGACTCTACCTTAACTAGACACTTTCACTTAACACTGAGACTCTACCTTAACACTGAGACTCTACCTTAACTAGATACCTTCCCTTAACACTGAGACTCTACCTTTACTAGATACCTTCACTTAACACTGAGACTCTACCTTAACTAGATACCTTCACTTAGCACTGAGACGCGACCTTAACTAGATACTATCACTTAGCACTGAGACTCTACCTTAACACTGAGACTCTACCTTAACACTGAGACTCTACCTTAACTAGATACCTTCACTTAACACTGAGACTCTACCTTAACTAGATACCTTCACTTAATACTGAGACTCTACCTTAACTAGATACCTTCACTTAACACTGAGAGTCTACCTTAACTAGATACCTTCACTTAACACTTGGACTCTACCTTAACTAGATACCTTCACTTAACACTGAGACTCTACCTTAACTAGATACCTTCACTTAACACTGAGACTCTACCTTAACTAGATACCTTCACTTAACACTGAGACTCTACCTTAACTAGATACCTTCACTTAACACTTGGACTCTACCTTAACTAGATACCTTCACTTAACACTGAGACTCTACCTTAACTAGATACCTTCACTTAACACTGAGACTCTACCTTAACTAGATACCTTCACTTAACACTGAGACTCTACCTTAACTAGATACCTTCACTTAACACTGAGACTCTACCTTAACTAGATACCTTCACTTAACACTGAGACTCTACCTTAACTAGATACCTTCACTTAACACTGAGACTCTACCTTAACTAGATACCTTCACTTAACACTGAGACTCTACCTTAACTAGATACCTTCACTTAACACTGAGACTCTACCTTAACTAGATACCTTCACTTAACACTGAGACTCTACCTTAACTAGATACCTTCACTTAACACTGAGACTCTACCTTAACTAGATACCTTCACTTAACACAGAGACTCTACCTTAACTAGATACCTTCACTTAACACTAACTGACACAAAATTTAACACACAGTCTTAACCATATTTAGCCATGTCGCTTACGTCCTTCTTACCCACAACATAAATCAAATAATCCGCCCATTTTTGTACAAATTATTGATATTTAAGTTATTATAAGTGGATTTATATCGTTAAGTATATAAGTAACTCAGGTTTAGTTTAAGTGTTGTATTTTGGGGGGTTGTATTGTGTGATTTAATTTGATACTTTTATACAACTGTTGTATTTTTTTGTATTATGTGATTTACTTTTAATTACTTTTATACAACTGTTGTATTTTGTGATTTACTTTTAAACAACTGTTGTATTTTTGTTGTATTTTGTGATATACTATTAAATACTTTTGTACAACTGTTGTATATTTTTGTATTTTGTGATTTACTTTTAATCAAATACTTTTATACAACTGTTGTATTTTTTGTGATGTTGTTAATGTAGGTGTTGTATTTTCTTAGAGGTTATAGACAGGATAACCTAACCAAACGTAACCTAACCTAACCAAACGTAACCTAACCTAACCAAACGTAACCTAACCTAACCAAACGTAACCTAACCTAACCAAACGTAACCTAACCTAACCAAACGTAACCAAACGTAACCAAACGTAACCAAACCTAACCTAACGTAACCTAACCTAACCAAACGTAACCTAACCTAACCAAACCTAACCTAACCTAACCTAACCCAACCTAACCTAACCTAACCTAACCTAACCTAACCAAACCTAATATTGTGAAGACTTGAGGATTATAATATGAATATTAAAAAAATTATTATCAACCATTAAGACAGACAGACAGACAGATAGATAGATAGATAGACAGAGACAGACAGAGACAGACAGACAGATAGACAGGCAGACAGATAGACAGAGACAGACAGACAGATGGATAGACAGAGACAGACAGAGACAGACAGACAGATAGACAGGCAGACAGATAGACAGAGACAGACAGATAGACAGAGACAGACAGACAGACAGATAGAGGGATAGACAGACAGATAGATAGATAGATAGACAGAGACAGACAGACAGATAGATAGACAGACAGATAGATAGATAGATAGAGACAGACAGACAGACAGATAGATAGATAGATAGACAGAGACAGACAGAGACAGACAGACAGATAGACAGGCAGACAGATAGACAGAGACAGACAGACAGATGGATAGACAGAGACAGACAGAGACAGACAGACAGATAGACAGGCAGACAGATAGACAGAGACAGACAGATAGACAGAGACAGACAGACAGACAGATAGAGGGATAGACAGACAGATAGATAGATAGATAGACAGAGACAGACAGACAGATAGATAGACAGACAGATAGATAGATAGATAGACAGAGACAGACAGACAGATAGATAGATAGATAGACAGGCAGAAGGATAGATCTAGACAAAAAAGACCGATAGAGACAGACAGACAGAAGCAAACAGACAGACAGACAGAAACAGACAGACAGACAGACAGCTTTTGAAATTTCCTATAGTAATTTAATCTCTTTTCTACCTTTTGAATTCACATACGATAAATATAATTATTCTTTTATTAAATTAAGAAATAAATAAATAAGTCAACTAAATCAAAATACAATATAGATTCTGTATAATACAATAAAGGAGATAAATTTCCCGTCTCACAATAGGTAAATAAAATCAAAATAATAATATTCTAGTTAATAAAGGTGTATTAATGTATAATTTTGTATAGTAATGTATTTTATTGGCTACAGTATGATGTATTTACGTGTTTCTTTAGTTATTGTATTTATTGTAGTTCGCTAAGTCTCATTTTATACATAGAATAATAATAATAATAATAACTACAACAATTAAAAAATTACACAACTCTTAATTCATATCAACTAAATTCATAACCAACAACTACAACCGTATGTGTTGTATTAATTAATTATCTTACTGTATTATAAATTCTACTGCCAGTATCTTTAAGCAACGTTCACCTTGTGAGGTTGTATGTTGTATTTTAACTGTATTATACAACATACATTGAAAAATAGCAAAATCAAGCACTCAGTAACTAATGTATGTGTGTATAAAACCGTATTTATTTCACTATGTATAAATTTGTATTCATATCACTAATTTTATACATATTAAACATGTATTTTGTCAACATGTCTGATAATTTTTGTGTATTTTGTGTATACTCTGTGTGTGTGTGTGTGTGTGTGTGTGTGTGTGTGTGTGTGTGTGTGTGTGTGTCTTCGGACTTTACTGTCATTTTATACAGACATTAGACATATAGACAGAGAGACAGACAGACAGACAGACAGACAGATCTCACCTGTACTGTACAATACCTGGGATAAGAATTAATTAAAGATTTAATTTATTTGTTATTACCCTTAAAAAAATAATCTGAAATAATTGAAATAAATAATAAGTGATTAATGGAAAAATCTGACAGAAGTTACTTAAATCTGACAGAAGTTACTTAAATCTGACAGAAGTTACTTAAATCTGACAGAAGTTTCATAGAAATCTGACGAAAGGTTACTTAGAAATCTGACGAAAAGTTACTTAAAAATTCTGACAGAAGTTACTTAAAAATTCTGACAGAAGTTACTTAAATCTGATAGAAATTACTTAGAAACCTGACGAAAAGTTACTTAGAAACCTGACAAGTTACTTAGAAAATCTGACG